TCACTGTCATGAGAACAGCATGGAGAAGACCCACCTTCATGATTCAGTTACCTTCTACTGGGTCCCTACCATGACATGTGGGAATTATAGGAGCTACAATTCAACATGAGATTTGTGTGGGACACAGCCAAACCATTTTAGTAGGCCTGCACAAGATCTTTAGTTGACATCGCTGTTACCTGTTATCATGTCCACTAATGCTGGCAGGTATGGGTTGTGTCAGCCCCTCCAGGCTCTGTTGTGTCAGCCCCTCTAGGCTCTGTTGCTGCTGGGAGTACTGGCCTGCTGTCACTGATAGGTGTGGGCAAGGGATAGGTTGGCTACCCAAGATCTTGTGGCATGGCTGCTGCAGGTAGATTAGGCATCATTGCTACAAGGTATGGATTCCAAGTCCCCAGTGGGCTTTCCTTCCCTGATCTTTTGATCAGAGAGAGAAGATTCCTTTTCTTTGCTTTTTTCTTTTTCTCTGCTTTTTTTTTTTTATTTTTATTTTTTTATTTTTTTTTATTTTGCTTTGTTTAATTGTTTTGTTTTGGTTAGCTGTTGTGGGTTACAGGCCTCCCTGGTACCCATTCTGGGATAACAGAATAAACAGGAGGAAAGTTACCATGTTGGTATTTATTAATCTGTGAGACTCTTGAGGAAAGAAAAGAACTTTTATCTGAAGAGCCTTTTAAAATGATCAGCCCCAGAGAAACATTAAAATTAGACAGGAAACACTTCCTACTTTCCCCCTTGAGCTCTTCAAACTGCTTATTACTGCCACAAGTAGCTTTCCTCTAACAATGCCACACCACACACAGCTTAACAATGTATAGCCAATCACTAATAAATGTTATTTCTGTAAACCAATGAGAATTCCTGACAAAAAAACTTTGTATCAGTCCACTCCTGTCCCCCCCCCCCCCCCCCCTTTTTTTGGCCTTTAAAAACCTACTTCTAAAAAAGGCTTATTGGAGCTCATATCTGCGGTTTCTTAGGTCTGAGTCTTCCAGGCAGCTGTCCTCACATTGGCTCACGTAAACTCTTTAAGTTATAATTTGTTCTCCAACCTCTTCCTTTCATGGTGCCTCCCTTATCCCACCAATCATCATCTTACTGCCTTTCAGAGTACTTTTATAATTACCTGTTGAGTTATTTCCAAAGTATGCCATTGCATATAAAGGGAATGAGCAGTAAAAAGATAGTCTATGCCATATTATTCCTGAAGTCTAAATGCTAATCTGCTTTTTAAAAAAAATAATTTACCTCAACCACTGAAGTTTCTTCTAAAGAAATAATATATTGAAAGTATTTTGCTATAAACAATAAAACATGCTAACTATAAAAATTAGCCAATAAAGAAAATATAGAAAGTAGGAAAACAATCATCTATAATCATTATCCAAAGCCAAATTTAATGAACATTTGGTTAATTACTTTCCAATCTTGTTTTTCTGATGAGTTAAGTTATGCCGTTACTTTTCTGGGTAACCATGACCATGCCATTTTTATGTTTCAATTACTTTAATACAAATATTTTTCCTGTTATTGTAAATTCTTCAGAATTCTTTCTTTTGATGGTGGTTCATTTTGGGGTACCATCATTTTCTTATTGTTAGACATGTAAGTTGTTTTCTGCATTCCAGTTATTTTTTGTTGTTGTAATATTCATGTAATGCATACCTTAATATATACAATTATTTTGATGGTTTGTTTTATTTAAATACAACAGTGTCCTGGAGGAGGATAACCATAAGAAACTAAAGAAAAAAATATTTCACCCCAAAATATCCTTCTTTGACATATTTCAAGATGGCTATTAGGAGGGAATGGTAACACAAGAATAGCTAAAAAGCTGCCCTTTGTGGGGGAGATTTGCATCTGTAGAGAAAATCTGCATTAGTAAAATGAACATCCTGGCTTGCTCTGCTTCCCACTCCAGCCTCCCCCTCCACCTTCAGTCTGGATCTAGGACTGATTGGCTCACTTTGGGGGTCTGACACATACTTTCTCTTTCTGAGCACTGCTACCAGTAAGGTTTTATCTGCATGGCAAAACTTAGTTTGACCTGCTTTCCTCTCTTTACTTCCCAGAGCCCAGACAAAGTGGGTTCCAGAACCCTTTTTCTTTCATTCATTTCTCCTGAAAATCATTTTACTTCTACACCCACCCCCCAATAAATTCGTATGCCTTTCTCCCTGTTATCTGTCCATAATCTTGTCTATTAGGGTTTATTTTATTATTTTTGTCTTTATTTTTAGAGAGAGGTATGAGGTCTTGCTCTGTCATCCAGGCTGTAGTGCAGGCTGTAGCGCCATTACAGCTCACTGCAGCCTTGAGCTCCTGGGCACAAAGAATCCTCCCACTTCAGACTCCTGAGTAGCTGGGACCACAGGTGTGCACGATCACACCTGGCTCAGCTTGTTTTAGAGTCTCAAATCATCTAAACTTCCAGGGAAAAATTTAAACTTCTCTACAAGACAAAGTTGCAAAGAAGGAATAGGCTTTGGTGTCAGAAACATAACTTGGTCCCTGCCTTTCCTGCTTTCTAGCTGGCCACCTAATCTTCCTGAGCCTCCCTAATCTCCTCCGCTTGACATGGGAATTCACCAAGGTCATATATGTAGAATTCTTAGCCTGCACCAGGTACTCATATATATTACACAGCAGTTCTGTTTCCCTCTCGCCTCACTTACTCCTCCATCTCATTCTCTTCCTAAAGATAATTAGGATGAGTTAACTAGTAAGGCGATTAAGGGTCATTTCTAAAATATCAGATTTTAAAACAGTCATTAATATGACTCTTTTAAACAATCTGCATCTCACCTCTGTAAAATTATCTTTCTAGCAAAATTAAATAAGCTTCAATAAATTGGAATGGAATTAAAAGATTGTAAGGTTTACCGTTTGAGAATGTGAGTGAAATGGGGTGGGGAGGAGATTAAAATTATCTGTGAGATAGAAGGTTAAATTTTTTTAAATGTTAAGAAAAACATAAGTAAACATTTGATGTCAGCACACAGCATGGCAGTGAAGTGCCACGCAATTTCCAAAAGTCTCTTTATCCCACAGAAACCATATTTGGATTTCTCGTGTATGGTAGTTTCCCTATGAAGAGACCCAGAGGAGTTGCTCTACTCTTTTTTGATGATGATGATGATGATGATGATGATGATGGTTGTGGTGATGATGGGTAAGACCTCAGAGGGGAAGAGGAGACAAAAACAGAAAGGGGAAAATGGGAGGGAGATTAATTTATATCCATTGTTGAGTGCCTATTGTTTAGATTATTATTTTTTTCTGATGGTGAATCTGGGGTCATTTCTTCCTTCCCCTTCTATTATCTGTTATTTACTTTTGTCCTGTTTGTGCATTTTTACTGCATGTACTACCAATATGAGAGATGGCCCATTTCTATGCATTTGACCACATTGCCTACTCTTCTTTTTAAATTACTAACATTTATAAAGGTAATAAGCTATATCATTAATTTGTTAGTTTCTCATTGCTGGCGAGTTCTGCACATGTCTTTTATAAATTATGTTTAAGATTGGAATAAATCAGAATTGATCAAATTATTATGAATAGAGAGTGCTTTCCTCATCTTTTATATTTTGTCTACTCCGATTAGTTTTTATTGGAGTTTTGTATAAGTTTATGGGGTGATGAATTTTTATCTGTGTTTATTTTCTCTGCTAAACAAGAACTCTGAGAAGCTGGGTCACATGCCTTTGGTTTTGGGACTCAGATAGTGTTATTTAGAGAAGTTATGAGGTTCAACATTTCTGAGACTAACTGTATCCATGCACAAAACCCTGCCTTGGCTTCACCTTTGAACCTAGGTTCCTCGAAGACCCAATTTACTCTTCATTTTAGTTCATTATCCCCAATGGGAGAGTGAGGTACTGTTCAACCAAGTAGGCTCAGCCTGAAAGAGCCTACTTTCTCTAAACAAAGTCTAATCACGAGTTTCCTGGAAGAGAGAGCTAGTTTGACTGTTTGGTCAGGAAAGTGCCATGGTAAGGTGAACTCATCTAACTATACTTGGTCCTCATGGCCTAATCTTTTTCTATGTGAAACATCACAGAGAAGATTCTGTGTCCTGAACTCTAATGGGCTCCAATTATTTTCTTGGGGAGAGTGAGATTGGTTGGAAGGAATGCTTTTAGGATTTTTGGCATGATGGGTAGACACTGAACATAATGCAATATTTATGTCATTTATATAATAACTATTCTGTATCTGAATTTGCTCTTCATTAAATGTATCAGCTTAGGAACTCTACCAAGATCATAGCCAAATAATATGTCACTCCATATATAACTATGACAATCTTGAGATTAAATAACCACGGGATGCTACTTTTAATGGTTTTTCTAGCATCTTTAAACTTAGAAATGTGAACATTTGGCAGATATTTTTATATTTCACTTTGTATTATAAAAGGGTCTTAACCCTGAAAAAGTAGCCAAATTTTCACTTGACAGTTCTTGAATCTCAGTTTTTCTATGCCTCAAACAAGGGCCTTTAAGCAGCAATGTGCTACATCTTTTGTTAGTCACGAGTTAAAAAAATTAGAAAGACATTCACTTGTTTACTCATTCATTTGGATGTCATTTGTTGAGCATTCATTATGTGCTCAGCATCATGCTAGGTTCTGTGAGGTGATGTGGAAATGAATGTAGTAAATTTATTCATTCATTCAATGAACACTATTGAGAATCCGTGATTTGATGAATTCATAAAATGTGTTTCCCATCTTCAATAAATTCACAGTGTAGCTACAGAAACCCCAGCTAATAAAATGGTTGAGATCCTTTGTGTTAAACGTGAAATAAATGGAAACTATCATAGATGCTAGGAAACTACTTTGCAAATAATGAAACTTTGCACTTGAGAATTTTGTTTAGCATCAAACAAAACAGCCTTTTCTGTTTCCTGACCATACAGGGTACTGGGGACACATATTAATTTAGTTTATTTGACTAGAAATTTACCATATGACTCCATAATTCTAGGTCCTATGCCAGACATTGGGAATAACAAGATTAAAGAAGCACAGTTCCTGCCTTTGAAGAACTTAGTAGCAATGGCGATGAGGATGCTCAGGAATTGTGCAACAGTACAAGTGATGCGTGAGCACTGAAGAGAGAGCAGAGAATGTCCCTAACAGTAATGGTGCATGAACTGAATTTCAAAACAGTAAAGAGAATGGGGCATCAGTGTTCTGGCCACAAATGAAAAAGATCAGAGGTCTGAGAGAGCTTGCTCTGTTGGAGGAACTACATGTCATGTATTATTACTGGAGCATGAATTCCGTGGAAGAGCATTGGGAAAGGTCTTGGATATCAGGAGAGAGCATTTGGATATCTTTCTGGAAGAGACGGTGAGTCAGAGATCTACTTTCCATCTAATCTGCCAGTATTTCCCAACTTCTTTTTTCTAATACCCTATGAATTTTTTGCATTTTACTTAAAAGTAATATTGTTTGAGTTCCCCAGCAGCAGAGAGTAATGAACAATGATCAGAACAGTTAGGTTAGAAGAACTTAAAACTAGTTCCCAAGTGTCAGGACACATTCTTTACTGCTGCTGTGTCCCATGTGGGGTATGAGAAGCACCTTCTGTTATATTTATCTCCTTTGGTCCTCTCAGTAGATTTATAGAGTGAAGTGGAATTTCATTCATTTGCTAGAAAAGAAAACAGAGACCCTGGGAGATAAACTGATGTTTGCCAAGCCATGCAGAGAGCCAGCAGTGGTTTATTTCCAGAGCCCAGGCCTCCTGGTCCCAGTGAAATGTTTCTGCCATGAGTCACATGTGGACTTTCTGCTCTGCTGTGACCCCAGTGATGCCCAGCTTACACTCAGGGCTTGCAATTTAGAGTGTGAAAAAGATGGATCCCATACCTATGGTTGTAATGCTATCCATTTCATACTTCCAGCAAGCATCCAATCATTTATTTATTAATCACTTACTGTGTGCATTTTTATACCCAACGGTGTGTAGAAGATCAGACCTGGGCATTGAATTCCAGCTTTTATACTACATGCCTCTTAATTTTGAGCAAGTTTTTCAAACTCTTGGTTTTATTTGTTCATCTGTAAAAGTTGACACAATCATGATACCCAAAACATGAGGTAATATGTTCTTAGAAGAGAGCATGACATGTGTTAACCTTTCAGAACCATTATACAGTAGCTAAAATAAGTAATAAGATCTGGGCCCTGCTTTCTCCATGCTTTATCTCAGTGAGAACACCAAAATTGAAAAGAGTTCTTGAAGTTTCAGTAAGATGAGAGAGCAGGATATCCCAGGTACCCTAGACCCTCTCTTTGCACAATGGAGTCACATATTCTTGGCTATTTACCTTCTTTCTGTGGCTTCTGACAATACTGGCCAAAGTGTTCTGTTTAGGAAAAATGCCTACTACAAGGGGAGTAGACTGACATAATCTTGGGAATCACCCTCGTCCTCTTTTCCCCCGCCGCCTCCTGCACCACTAAATGCTCTTAAATTCCCTTTATCCTCCTTTCCTCTAGCTGTTTTTCTTGGCCTGCTTAGAAGTTATGTTTTCTAATTGGGTCTCTCATGGAATTGAGTGTTCCTCCATTGTTTATAGTTGCACCCATATGCTTGTCGCAGATACACATGGAGCTATGGATAAGTATGAGTTAGGTCTTGACTGTGCATGCATGTGCACACACACACGCACACACGCCCCCCACACATACACAGACACAGACAGAACATGCCTGTTTCCATTTAATTTTGCTTTTTGGGTGAAATCGTTTACATAAGTAGGACCATAGGTTAAGTGTGTCCATGTTGGATGATTTGGCAAATGAATCTGGTCTGAAAAGCATGTTTGATATCAGAGGGCCTGAACAGCATCATTTTCAGGGGTCAGGCCCTACTGGGTCTGGCTCAGAGTTCTCTGCCAGTTTTGAGGGTGTGGTGCGGAGAGTCTGATGTTTGCTTTAATGAATGTGCGAAGTCTCTTAAACAGATTGTCTGCCTAGAAAAACATTTCAGATGCTTCTCAGTCCTGAACTTTGGCTTCTTCAGCCATAACCAAAGAAATATTAGGCTAGTTTAAAACCTTTTCCAATCATTCCATAAAAATTGTGGTTTCCCTCCTCTATCAAATCAGCTAATCTCATTTAACCATGACCACTGCTTAAACGCAATTAAATTATAGTCAGAAAATTCTCTTTCCTTGACAAGAACCTAAAATAAGGTGCACATACCAATGAACACAAGGCTAAGGTCTAAGTTTACAAGCTCCACGAGGACAGGGGCTTTGTTCATCTTGTTCCCTGTTACATGCCCAGCCCCTGTAACAGGGTCTTCATTACTGCCTGCAGAGTAAGAATTCATAAAGGAAGTTTGATGAATCTTTTCATCTCTGATGTGGATGCTTGGCAACTAGTGGACTTTTCATTAAATATTTGGGTAAATAAATGCTGACCCCTGGAATTCCATCCTCTGATATTCATGAGTCTAGATTGAGACATTGATGATTGTTAAAATGCAGAGGTGACTCACAGAGTCAGTTGGTCTTCATGTCTTCATGAATAAAGGACCTGAGACGGGAGGCAAGAGAGATTGTGCTGAGGGCCTGGCTACCGAGGGCGGTGACAGTAAATGGATGCAATGGTGGGGCAGGTTGGATGCAAATAAGACTTTTTCCCCTTCACTTCTAAATCTCAGTCAGCCATCAACCAGTCCCTCCTGGCTCTCTCCCACTGGCTGTCCCAGGTTTTTCAGGTTACTCCTCAGCTGCTGGGAGACAGCTCCTTCAGAATCTCAGGCTACTCTCTTTCTGATTCAACATTGAAGGTCCAAGGTGAGTATTTCCTTGGATTCAGCCTTTTGTCACAGCCCCAATGGATCCTACATATAGCATTTTTCTTAAATATGTATTTTATATGACTATAAAAGCAATACTCATTTGAAGATAATTGAGGCTATTTATAAGGTATAAATAGGCAGAATAAAATTATTCATTAACATTTAGTTACAGTTTGTTCTGGCTATTTTTTATGCTTAGGGTTTTTTCTTTTGTGCTATAGAGGTCATATTGTATGAACAATAATATATTTTGATTTTTTACCTAGTAGGATTAATACAGGAATTTTCTCATATCATTAAATGACATTCATTGCAAATGCTATTCCAAAAAATCAGAAACTTTTGTACTTTGCAAATGAACTGAAATTTACTTAGACTTTCTTCTGTAATTTACTTAGACTTTCTTCCATTGCTTGACAGTAATTGATACATAGCAAAATGAAGAGTTTCTCTAGGCATGGAGAGTACAGTATTAGGTCATGTTTGGAACTGCCCAAGCAAGGCTTCTGTTCTCCTGGGGAGAGGTAGTTTTCTAGATCTAATCTGTGTTAACTAGTCATTTGATTAAGATAGATGCTTCACTGAGTACAGACATAGTAAGATGTATACGGGGAAATATGAATATCCCTATTTTGTTTCTTCTGACTTAAATTTTTGAAATGATATAAATAACACTCAGACTAACGGGTTACTAAAGGGAAACAAGTCACAAACACTAATGCAGTTTTTTAACCTTTAAGCCTTAGTTCAAAACAACATAACCATACATTTCAATCTTAATTTGAGTGATTCATGAGTTTGATTTGATAAAATTAGATTAAACTGACTAAGCTGCCATCAGTGCTAGCCACTATTCAAAAGGCTCTGGAAGAATATAAAATAGTGCAGCCACTTTGGAAAACAGTATGGCAGTTCCTCAAAAAAGTGAAAATAGGATTACCATATGATCCAGCAGTTCCACTTATTGATCTATATTCAAAAGAATTGAAAACAGGGACTGGAACAGATATTGTACACTCATGTTCTGAACAGCGTTGCTTGTAATAGCCAAAAGGTGGAAGCAACCCAGGGGTCCACTGATGAATGAATGGATAGACCCATAAAAACTGAAAACAATTGTTTAAGAAAAGAAATGAATAAAGTGATGTATGCATATGAAATAAAATATTATCCAGCCTTCAAAAGGAAGAAAATTCTGACACATGCTACAACATGAATGAATTTTGAGGATGTGCTTAATGAAACAAACTAGTCACAAAATACAAATCCTTGATATTTCACTTATATGAGACATTTAGAATAGTCAAATATGTAGAGATGTAAAATAGAATGGCAGATGACAGGGAAGGGGGAAGAGAGAGATGGGTAATTGTTGTTTAATGGGTATAGAGTTTCAGTTTTGCAAGATCAAAATAATTCTGGAGGATTGCAGTGATGGTTGCATGATATGAATGTACTTCATACTGCTCAACTGTATATGCAAAAATGGTTAAGATGGTAAATTTTATTATATGTATACTTTTACCAAAATTTTTATGAAATAGGCTCTGGAAAAACAAAATAAATAATGTAAAAATACATTATCTTAGTGACCTCTTAGGGATGTGTGAGTAGTTAGGTCAAGGAGGCTAGGGGAAAATAGGCTGGTTCATAAATTACAACACAGAGAATAAGTGAAGTGGGTGTAAAATCTACAGAAGATACTTAAAGAAGTTAAATAAGAGAGAGGCACGTGTGAGCAAGTGGGGACTGCGGGTCAGGGATGGTCTCACAAAGGAAGTGGCTAGAGCTTCCACAGAGGGATGCGGGGGATGGACAGGAGAGTCAGCACAGAGGGATGTGATGGTTAATATTGATTGTCAACCTGACTGGATTGAAGGATGCAAAATATCGTTCCTGGGTGTGTCTGTGAGGGTGTTGCCAAAGGAGATTAACATTTGAGTCAGTGGACTGGGAGAGGCAGACCCACCCTCATTCTGGGTGGGCACCATCTAATCAGCTGCCAGCAGGGCTAGAATAAAGCAGGCAGGAGAAGATGGAAGAGCAGACTGCCTAAGCTGAGTCAATTCTCCTTAATAAACTCCCTTTCATATATGCATATATCCGATTAGTTCTGGCCCTCTAGAGAACCCTGACTAATACAGGGGAAGAGAGGAAACTGGGAGGAAAAGACGTGGAATGAGCTTAGGGCAAGTTTGGAGTATTAAGGAAATAAAGTGTCGTGGAATAAACAGCTCAAAGATCCTTTCTTCAGCTGTGTCAGTGTTTGGGCCAGCAAGATTTTTATACTAATGATTTGATGTAAGACTGAGAGTGTCCTAGTCATACATCTGTCAGTCTAAGAAGAGGCAGAGCTGGAGGTTTGGAAGCATTTAGTTCAAAGTGAAAGCAGGTTTGTTTTGTTGGAGAGTCAGTAGATCTGGAAATGAAATCTCACAAATTGTTTGTCAAATTGGATTTGTGGGAACAGATTGAATTAAATATTATTCAATTGTATATAAAACTTATAGGTACATGATATATTTGTGATACATTAGTGCTATTTTCAAAGGTTACTTAAGTATTTTTTTTTAAAAAACTTTAACCAATGTAGTACCTACTGGATGACTAAGACTGTGTTAGAAGAGAGGCGAAAGGGCAAGAAAGGAAAATTGAAAGCCAAATTGATCAGAGTTCCTGAGTCAATGGAAATAATAGTTCAGCAGGGGAGAGACATGTGTGGTTATTGTAAGGTAGTATGGGATGGGGCTTGATCATGCTGGGTGGGACTGAAGATCAAGCTAGCCTCAGGACACAAGGATAGAATTTGATGTCAAGGAGATAGAGGGAACTTGAAAAATCTTGCCTCTCAGCCTAGTGGCTTGGGTAGTGAATCCTTCAGGGTCTGGATGAGATAGTAGAGTGGAGTAGCTTAGGTTACTGAAATATTCAATCTAAGAGGTGCAGAAGGAAAGATTAAAGATCCTACAGGGAAGGAGTTTCCAAG